TTGTTTGAGAAACCTGCCTGCCTGGTCCCCTGTCGGCTTCTTGGCAGTCGTCCTGCCTCCAGAAGATTCCTTGGTCCACTTCTGTCAATTGGGTGTCTTCTTGGCAGTCGTCCTGCCTCTGGGGGACTTCAAGGTCCAATTCTGCCCCCAGGAAGATGGCGTCCGCAGTCCTAATAGTAAAGGTAAAGAATAGTTCACATCATTGATACTTACTACACAATTTATGAATATGAAAGCATGTCCTGAATCGTGAAAAAGCTCTAAACTAAAAGAAAAGTTGTAAGCTTGCACAAGACATCATGGTGAACAAGGGTACTTTTCATGTTTTCTTCAAAGGATTGTTTGAGAAACCTGCCTGTCTGGTCCTCTGTCGGCTTCTTGGCAGTCGTCCTGCCTCCAGAAGAGTCCTTGGTCCACTTCTGTCCATTGGGTGTCTTCTTGGCAGTTGTCCTGCCTCTGGGGGACTTCAAGGTCCAATTCTGCCCCCAGGAAGATGGCGTCCGCGGTCCTAATAGTACAGGTAAAGAATAGTTCACATCATTGATACTTACTACACACTTTATAAATATGAGAGCATGTGCTGAATCATGAAAAGAAACGTCTAAGCTAAAACAAAAGTTGTAAGCTTGCACTAGACATCATGGTGAACAAGGGTACTTATTACGTTTTTTTCAAATAATTGTTTGAGAAACCTGCCTGCCTGGTCCTCTGTCGGCTTCTTGGCAGTTGTCCAGCCTCCAGAAGAGTTCTTGGTCCACTTATGTCCATGAGATGTCTTCTCGGCAGTCGTCCTGCCTCTGGGGGACTTCAAGGTCCAATTCTGCCTCCAGGAAGATGGCGTCCACGGTCCTAATAGTAAAGGTAAAGAATAGTTCACATCATTGATACTTACTACACAATTTATGCGTATGCTGAATCGTGAAAAAGCTCTAAGCTAAAAGAAAAGTTGTAAGCTTGCACTAGACATCATTGTGAACAATGGTACTTATTACGTTTTTTTCAAATGATTGTTTGAGAAACTTGCCTGTCTGGTCCTCTGTCGGCTTCTTGGCAGTCGTCCTGCCTCCAGAAGAGTCCTTGGTCCACTTCTGTCCATGAGATGTCTTCTTGGCAGTCTTCCTCCCTCTGGGGGACTTCAAGGTCCAATTCTGCCCCCAGGAAGATGGCGTCCGCGGTCCTAATAGTAAAGGTAAAGATTAGTTCACATCATTGATACTTACTACACAATTTATGAATGCCAAAGCGTATGCTGAATCGTGAAAAAAGCTCTAAGCGAAAACAAAAGTTGTAAGCTTGCACTAGACATCATTGTGAACAATGGTACTTATTACGTTCGTTTCAAATGATTGTTTGAGAAACCTGCCTGCCTGGTCCTCTGTCGGCTTCTTGGCAGTCGTCCTGCCTCCAGAAGAGTTCTTGGTCCACTTCTGTCCATGAGATGTCTTCTCGGCAGTCGTCCTGCCTCTGGGGGACTTCAAGGTCCAATTCTGCCCCCAGGAAGATGGCGTCCACGGTCCTAATAGTAAAGGTAAAGATTAGTTCACATCATCGATACTTCCTACACAGTTTATGAATATGAAAGCATGTGCTGAATCATGAAAAGAAAGGTCTAAGGTAGGATACCAGTTGTAAGTTTGCACAAGACATCATGGTGAACAAGGGTACTGTTTATGTTTTCTTCAAAAGATTGTTTGAAAAACCTGCCTGTCTGGTCCTCTGTCGGCTTCTTGTCAGTCGTCCTGCCTCCAGAAGAGTTCTTGGTCCACTTCTGTCCATGGGATGTCTTCTTGCCTGTCGCTCTGCCTCTGGGGGGCTTCAAGGTCCAATTCTGCCCCCAGGACGATGGCGTCCACGGTCCTAATAGTAAAGGTAAAGAATAGTTCACATCATTGATACTTACTACACACTTTATGAATACGAAAGCATGTGTTGAATCCTGAATTTAGCTCTAAGCTAATACACAAGTTGTAACTTTGCACCAGACGTCGTTGGTAAACAAGGGTAGTTTTTAACTTTTCTTCGAAAGGTTGTTTGAAACACTTGCCTGCCTGTTCTACGGTGCAAAAAATAACGGTAAAGAATATTTTACATCATTTGACTACCACACATACTATGACTGAGTGAGTGTAGTTTTACGCCGCGTTTAGCAATATTTCAGCAATATCACAGCGGGGAACAATAATTATAGGCTTCACACATTGTAGCTATATGGGAAATCGAATCATGGTCGTTTTGGGCGTGACGAGCGAACACTTTAACCACTAGATTTAACCTAAAGATTGAACTGAAATATTGCAATACTTTACCAACAGATGGCCCCAGTCGGCCAGTACACTGCTCCCGAAAGTGACCATGCGGGACTTGCTCTGTCTGGGAACTACCTACTGAAGGAATAAATGGTGGGTAAGCACTAAGTTATGCCATCTCTATGACAGGATCATGCAGGGCATGCATGAGGGGTCCCTATCTACCATACCACCTAAATCTACCAGTCAAGTGCAGTCAGCATTTGGCCTACTGGGGGATGCTGAGAAAGACTGGGAGCCACAGAGTGTAGCAACCCTAACTAGCTGGTCTGTTGCTGCAACAACATCCTGACTGGACAGCCAGGCCCTATGACCGAACCTACCCCACAGTACAGTCGGCGGGGACCTACGCGGAAGCGGAGAGACTGTGGGGCCACCATTAGACAAAAACTCGTCCCATCGGTCTCTCGGAAAGCAGTGTACTGAAGTCCGTGTAGAAGTGGGTGGTGAGACGCAACAGCAAATCCAGAATGTGCCAGGGTTCCTGCGTCTGAAAGAAATGAGTCATGCATAGGCATCAGGAATCACACTTCTCACGAATGTAGATTTGTTTACTAACAGTGAGTAAGGTAAGAGTTTCTCCCGTTCCCCCATCCCAAATAATATGTATAAATATTCTAGAATTATAAACAAAACTTAACACAACAATTACTAGAGAACTCACAAAAAATGATTAAAAGTCCAAAATTTAAGTTAGGGCTAGGTTTAGGGTTTGGTTTAGAGTTGGGGGAACGGAAGGAGCTCTTTCCAAAGTTTGGAATCGAAACCTGGCAATCGGCATGGCGAGCCAACACTTTAACCACTAGGCTACACCACCTTTCCGTTTACATCCAAGAAAATAGTATCCACCATTCCCATCTATCTCTACATGGCTGTATACTTTGAGGGGATGAGTGTGCACTATACATTCATAAGACATCGTCGTGAAGAAAATAGAGTTTGAAAATCTGCCAGGTCTTCTGTCGGGCCAAATCTCCCACGTCCACCGTCCTATTAGGTAAGGTAATGAATATTTCATATCACTGACACTCACTCACTCATCATTGATAGTTACTACACAGTTTACGAATGCGAAATGCATATGCCGGATTGTATAAATATACCTGTAACCTAACTCTCTTCTTGGTCGTCCCTCGCCTCGGGATCTTTCCTGTTGTGCTTTCACACCCGGTTGAGAAAGTAACTACATAATTTGTATAGGAGCCAGTGCGGGGACTCCAAGCGGGGTTCAGTCGCTCGATTACGACAAAGAGTCAGCTGGAGATGACAAAGGGTAAACCAGACACCTTACGTAACCTAATCCCAGTCGCCGAACCCGAAACAAAGGGTAACATTGACTGAAAACACCTCAGTTTGCACAGAGACATTTTTCCGATTTAACGTGAGCCGAGTGAGATCTGATAATAAGTTTCTTTATTATTAAAACAAAACAAAATTCCTTTAGATTAATTACTGGTTTGAATTTATCTAAGCAAATATAACTAACACATAAAAACAGCTTATAAGGTACAGGTGTCATGCGTTTTAAAATTCAAAATTACAAGTTAAACCAAAACTGACATAGATGTATTGCTGATTCAATACAAATGAATTAAACCAAAGTAACACAATTTAAATCAACTGTTATTCGTGGGTGGGAAATTGTAATTTTTGTTGTGCCTATCTCTGCTCATCGCATTCGTGACCCACTCGTGTTATTCCGGGACAAGCTGAATACCGATTTCATATTGACGTATGAACATCAGAACTACTTCAAACATGTACAGTATTAAACATTACGGAAACGCTCGAAAACATTAACCCGCTTTAACCAATAATTATGATGATAATTTGTTGAAAACATATTCTAACCAGCTGTTCACAATTTACTTTCAAATGTACATTTCTATAAGAATCACAAATTAATTTCCCCTTAATAGGCAGTTAAAATAACATTTTTTTTCAGCTCTAATAAGTGTGAATAGATGCAAAAAAATACCTTTAAAATATATTTCAAACTGGAAGTTCATCGAAAGTCTTCTTGGGGGTTATGGAAAAGGGCGAGTGGTGACGGATGCGGGAGTGGGACAAGTCTTCTCGGGGTTACGGAAAGGCGCGATTGGTGACGAATGCGCTGGTCGCACAATGTCCGTATTCAGACATTTCAGTGAGTTGGATTTGATGCCGCCAGTAGCAGTTTGTCAGTTCTTCAACACCACTGCACTGACTGATGCAGTTTGTGACGGGTTAATACGGTTTGTAATTTACTCCCAAAACTCTGTTTTTGATTTTCAAAAGTGCTTACCATGTAGTTTAAGTTCGAGTACAAATAATGTTAGAGACTGTGTGTAAATTGTAGTAATGAAGCTGCAATACATGACCCACCAATTTGACAATAACAAACTGGTAACATTTGATGAAACAGTACAACAGTGAGTGAGTGAGTTTAATTGTACGCCACACTCAGCAATATTCCAGCTAGATGGCGGGGTACAACAGTGTAATGTAGATAATGTCACTGCCAGCTATGGGAAGTAATTCGCATCAAATCGTAGTTTGGTTAAGAATGTTAAGAAAGACTACGTCAGAGTTTGCAGCACATAGCCGCAAAACAAGAGGTGGTAGTAATATAGGCATCAAACGTCTTAAAAGTAAGGAAGATAAAAATCCAATAAATAAATCAATAAATCAGTAAATGAATGAATAAATCAGTGGTGATAAAGAGAAATGGTGGTGCGTTCATAAGATGTCTGTCTTTGAAAAGTTTGTTAACGTTTATACTTCCTATCGAAATTGAAAGTCCAGGTTCCCGGCCCTATCTTTTAAGAGTATAGTGAGCTGGACTAGACAAGCCTGCGATTGATATTATGAACTACGGTACATACAGTCAGGGGGAAGATGACACGCACACAAGCAAGTCCCTGAGTCTGGTCACCCTCTATATACCGTACTTCCTCCACTTGACGATCGGGAGTCTGACTCTTTCCTCACCCGTGAAGGTCCGGGTTAGAATGAACATTCAGTAACCCATGCTTGTCTTAAGAGGCGACTTACGGGATCGGGTGGTCAGGCTCGCTGGCGGTTGACACATGTCATCGGTTCCCAATTGCGCACATCGATGTTCATGCTGTTGATCACTGGATTGTCTGGTCCAGACTCGATTATTTACAGACCGCCGCCATCTAGCTGGAATATTGCAGAGTGTGGCGTACAACTTAACTCACTCACTCACTGACTCTTTCCTCTGTAATGGTGAAACTGAGGTGCTGGCAGAATGAGCTTCATTCTAAAATTCGAACTCACAATTAGCGATACGCATATGTTTTAAAACCATTGGATGTTTTAAGTGGTATTATTGATAATTTAGATAATATCAATGGTAGACACCCATTTCCTCACAGGGTTTTGCTGTCAGATTTCCAACCTCATATTTAATAAATACTCACGTAACACATATTTAATTCAACATTTTAAGCGCCACTCGTGCCATATCAAATCGTTCTTCGCCTCCATTACCCCTGTCAGCTTCCGGTTCCACTACACTAAATCAGAATCACATGCTCCCTGAGCGAGCACCGTATGTAAACAACTGAAGAAACAGAGACATGTGACAGCTGTGATTGGATGAAATAGTGTGAGATGTTTTTGCTTTTTAAAAACACATCCATCCAGTAATTAAAACTGACCACAATTTTAAGTATTTAGTGCTGTCATTTTTATCACCATCACTTATGCTTATTGTGTGTACAGATATTTTCCAGTAGGTGACATTTGGTGCGGAACTGGGGTTAATGTGTTCCGCTTTCTGTGCTGGGAAAATGTAGTTCAAAGGCCAGACTGTACCCATGTGTACCTGGAATGGCTGTTGATAGCCTGGATAATTTTTGAAAAAATAAAAGGTTACTATAGAAGTCTGTGGGAAAACATTTGGTGTTGTGTAACCTTCCATTTCAACGGAGTGAAGGAACAGGGGAGTTAAATCTAAATATAGTTGTTGAATCACATGTTCGCCACCATTCGTGACCCACTCGTGTTATTCCAGGACAAACCGGATAGCGACTCATGTTCCTCTGGAAGGATTTCATATTGGCGCATGAACATCAGAACTACTTTAAACAAGAACGATGATTCTATTCCTGTTTGATTCCAATGCTACTTCATATGACATTTGTTTTCATTTCACACATATTATCTCGAGCACATGATTACATAAGTGTAACTTTGTCTCCGGCAACCACGTTTAGTTGACAAATGTCCAGTGTTCCGGGAATGAAGTATTTCTTGGGGGAAGTGGTGAAAACTCAAATGTTTTGACATAACTGAACATCGTTCTTTACAGAGTTTGAGTTGTTGACATCTTTTGAGTTGTTGACAATCCATGGTACCACCTGTCACAAACGCGTTTTTTTAGGTATTACTTCCTTGTTTATAACACACTTCCCATCAAAAGTTGAGACTCACTCGTGTAAATACAGCCTCTTACTTCAGGCAACTGTTCTAAACTACATTTTGCAAAATAGTCCATAGCCTACTGTTTAAAGGTACTGTTTACACATGAACTCATGTATTGTAAAACAAATTCGTAACGTTGAATATATTATTGTCATGAGTTTAATAAATGATAAAAATCAGTGAAAATTGGCGATTTGTTAACAAAACTTCACACCAAAAACGCAGCTGCTCACATGCTCGATGTTTGCACATGCTTTTCAGCAATTTGATGCATGATCCTCGTGCTATTCATCTGCATATAGTTTGCAGTTGGTTCCCCAAAGTTAGTGGAGAAATCAATCTTCGATGTAACATATAGTGAGTGTTTTAAGTGAGTCTAAACTTATTGACGGGAAGTATAGTACCGGGCAGAAATAACTCTTGAGTGACTTGGGTGAAATCATGGAACTTGGGTGACATCTATCTTGACTGACTTGGAATTAGCGTGTTATCACCCTGGAGTAACTTCAAAATAGGCAGATATCATTTCTGGAGTGACTTGGAACTAGGGTGATATCGCTTATGGTTTACCTTTACCTGGGGTGATATCACTCTGGAGTGACTTGGAACTAGGGTGATATCGCTTATGGTTTACCTTTACCTGGGGTGATATCACTCTGGAGTGACTTGGAACTAGGGTGATATCGCTTATGGTTTACCTTTACCTGGGGTGATTTCACTCTGGAGTGACTTGGAACTAGGGTGATATCGCTTATGGTTTACCTTTACCTGGGGTGATATCACTCTGGAGTGACATAGAACTAGGGTGATATCGCTTATGGTTTACCTTTACCTGGGGTGATATCACTCTAGAGTGACTTGGAACTAGGGTGATATCGCTTATGGTTTACCTTTACCTGGGATGATATCACGCTGGAGTGACATAGAACTAGGGTGATATCGCTTATGGTTTACCTTTACCTGGGGTGATATCACTCTGGAGTGACTTGGAACTAGGGTGATATCGCTCATGGTTTACCTTTACCTGGGGTGATATCACTCTGGAGTGACATAGAACTAGGGTGATATCGCTTATGGTTTACCTTACCTGGGGTGATATCACTCTGGAGTGACTTGGAACTAGGGTGATATCGCTTATGGTTTACTTTACCTGGGGTGATATCACTCTGGAGTGACTTGGAACTAGGGTGATATCGCTTATGGTTTACTGACTTGGACCTGGGGTGATTTCACTCTGGAGTGACTTGGAACTAGGGTGATATCGCTTATGGTTTACCTTTACCTGGGGTGATATCACTCTGGAGTGACATAGAACTAGGGTGATATCGCTTATGGTTTACCTTTACCTGGGGTGATATCACTCTGGAGTGACTTGGAACTAGGGTGATATCGCTTATGGTTTACCTTTACCTGGGGTGATATCACTCTGGAGTGACATAGAACTAGGGTGATATCGCTTATGGTTTACCTTACCTGGGGTGATATCACTGGAGTGACTTGGAACTAGGGTGATATCGCTTATGGTTTACCTTTACCTGGGATGATATCACGCTGGAGTGACATAGAACTAGGGTGATATCGCTTATGGTTTACCTTTACCTGGGGTGATATCACGCTAGAGTGACATAGAACTAGGGTGATATCGCTTATAGTTTACCTTTACCTGGGGTGATATCACGCTGGAGTGACATAGAACTAGGGTGATATTGCTTATAGTTTACCTTTACCTGGGGTGATATCACGCTAGAGTGACATAGAACTAGGGTGATATCGCTTATAGTTTACCTTTACCTGGGGTGATATCACGCTAGAGTGACATAGAACTAGGGTGATATCGCTTATAGTTTACCTTTACCTGGGGTGATATCACGCTGGAGTGACTTGGAACTAGGGTGATATCGCTTATGGTTTACCTTTACCTGGGGTGATATCACGCTGGAGTGACATAGAACTAGGGTGATATCACGCTGGAGTGACATAGAACGGGTGATGTCAGTCTGGTGTGACTGAGAGTTGTGCTGTGATCACTCTCTAGAGACTTTGTCCAAGGCTGTGATCACTCTCGAGTGACTTAGGCCTTGGCTGTGATCACACTCGAGACTTTGATCTTCTAGGCCAAGGCTGTGATCACACTCGAGTGACTTTGGCCTTGGTTGTGATCGCTCTCGAGAGACTTTGGCCAAGACTGTGATCACACTCGAGAGACTTTGGCCATTATTTATGATTTACTTGTAAATCACAGGCGGTGGGGTAGCCTAGTGGTTAAAGCGTTCGCTCGGCACGCCGATCGCGAAGACCCGTGGTCAACTCCCCACATGGTCACTATGCGTGAAGCCTATTCCTGGTGTCCCTGGCCGTGATGTTGGAATGAATTCAATGGGAGCATGCATTCCAATATCTCAAATTGATACCCACCTTTGCATGTTTGACACCATTCAGGATTGTTCACGATATATATGTAAATCAAACATCTTTGTGGATCATCAATGGTGATGTGTATACAGTACACTAAACATACTGGACACTCTGCATTCAAGCATATATTGTGACTTCTGTGACTCAATATCAGGTGTCACCAGGCATGACGTCTAGTATTACGTTCCCCACCGTAAGCATTTTCAGACTTCTGGGGGCGGCTTCAGGTTAGCCGTTCTGAAGGTAATACGTGAAGATAAAACGACTGCGGATTCAGTTCCAGGTTTAGATAAAAGTGGTTTATATCTACATGCAAAATCCACATCGAAAACAAAGGAATCTTATCCATTCTCCTAGCACTTACGTAGACCAGCGAATTTTAACTATCAACATCAGTGTCACCTAGGTTTTGTTTGGTTCAGTATTTGTTTGTACATTATGGCATGTAGTTGTATGACCATGAGCTGATGTCACTCAGGTTTGGGTAGTGAGACTTGTACACAATAAAGCTAGTAGAATGTGGACATAATTAAGACAGTACTTTATTACAGATAGAAAACTGTTTCTTATTTAAAATGCCAAATTTAATAATAGATTATTCTGGGCAGAAAAGCGACGGTACCGTGACCTAAATTAACAATCCTCGTTCAGGGCTAACAGACGCGTCTCTGGGCCCAACGTTAAGACGGGCGTTAACAGGAGAATAAATGATAAATAGTTTGGATACGGTTTACGTACAGCTTAGATATCTTCTCTAAATTATTTTATTACGTCTGTGATTATCGTAAACCATATGGGGCAATATTTACGTCTTAGTTCTACTACCAACGCATCTTAAGAACAGGAAATCCAGATGAAGCTGTCGTGTCAGTTCAAAAGTCCATGATAAGCCGGGCTCCGTCTCGCATATCGCAAGTTGGCGCGCGCACAGGGAGCCGGGAAGCAGCTTACATTCCACAGATGTATTGTGGGACGGTTGACATAAGCCTAGTTAGCTGCCGTTGCAGTGTGGCTGAGACAACTTTTTCCGTCTAAAAAGTTAAACGTAATGTTTCCACCAGTGATGGTTGCCGAATGAAGCAACTGCCTGCCACGAAACAGGGTGCAACTGATTTTTCCATTTTACTACATCATTTTTTGTATTCTCCGCCCGATCTCTCGCTGGCCGAGGTTTGACATTTCTCAAATGACAGACTGAAGAAGAATCGAAGGACCTTCAGAGTAATGCACAGCATTACCATATCAATATAGACGATAGGCAATTAGGCATACGACTCTTTTCACTACACAATGTAATTTAATTACTGTTACATTTTTGCACTGGGTGTTTTGTATTCTTTGTTTTTGTTTGTTTTTGTTTTGTTTTCGTAAGTAATTACTGATCCAAAGACACTGAAGAGGGACCGTATCAATATGTTTGGATATGTAATATTCCCATCGGAGAGATGATATTTCTAAAATTAAAACTTTGCATACCACCCCGTTATTAAAAAGTCGGGTTGTTAATTTTTTTAAACAAGCCTTCTTGGCATGAAGAACGGGAAAAGCATGAATTCGGCTTCGTCTGTTTGAGAAACATTCCTCTTCAGAGATATATATTATAAAATATTGTCCCAGACAAGTGGGCACTTAGGAGAAAAACAGTTTTCGCAAGCCTAACAGTCCTATAATCAACAACAAAACAAGTATAACTGCATCAGCTGTGCGGTACACAGCATTTTTATTGTCACCATTCCCAACATGATACAATACTTAAATATCTACAAACTAACTAACTCTGTTTCCACTCACATAAAGAATACTTGTTGCAAAAAACCGTCGGCATGATGCTTGTTACCACACAATATACGTGTGTATATTACCAGTACATATGAAAACGGTTAAAGGTAGTGAAGCCCGACAGGTAAAACCAGAGATAAAAACATGTTTGTAAAAAGCTCTGGAACCGTGTTCCCTCAACGTACGCAGCACTACCTCTACTGGAGGGTTTACAGTAGCAAACATAGAAAATGTCACATTGCCACAACATCATAAACGAATTTCAATTGAAGCATACCAATGTTGGTATTGTAACGATCTACAGTCACAGAAATAAATTATGAATATTTTATCGGATCTGAAGCCCATTAAATATACATATGAATATGAATGCAGCCCATTAAATGCAATACACATATGAATATTACATCGGCTCTGCAGCCCATTAAAACCCTAACTATAGTTTTCAGATAACAATGGATCACTTTTTATATAACTAAGAAATGTGGTTGGGAACGAGACTTACATGATCATATTACAGTATTATATCGGTTCTGCAACCAATGTAAATATACACATGAATATTTTATCGGCTCTGAAGCCAGAACCCTAATCTAACAAAATACACATATGAATGATTTATCGGCCCTGCAGCCCATTAAAATCCATATATGAAAAATATATAATGCTCTGAAGATAATGAATGTTATATCGTGTCTGCTCGCCTCTGCATCCCTTTAAACTACATAATGAATATTATAAAGGCACTGAAGCAGGTAACAACGGATCACCTTTTTATACATCGGTTTGAAAATATCATCGGCAAATGTTATTTGTAAATATCACTTAGTGTTATATTGATATCAGCAACCAATGAAAATATATCAACTCTGAATTAGTTAAACTACATCGGCTCTGAAGCCAATGAAAATACACATATGGATATTATATCGGCTCTGCAGTCAATGAAAATACACATATGAATATTATATTGGCTCTCCAGCCCATTAAACAACATACATGAATATTATAAAGGAACTGAAGGCCATGAAAATACACATATAAACATTTTATCTTCCAACTGATATCAATTATATCTTAACACTCGTTGATAAAAGTGAATATATCATCGGCAAGCCTCGGATATCAACTCGTGTTGATATAATTGATAACAGTAGACACTTGGGTGAGATTCTCTATATATCAACTCTGCAGCCCATTAAACTACATACATGAATATTATAAAGGCACCGAAGCCCATGAAAATACACATTTTATCATCCAAAACTGTTCCACAGGAGATATTGCTTCTATGAGATCATACGATTTATTATATTCTTTTATAAAGGGTGAAATACTGTAAATATTGGTGAAAATATAAATGTTTTTTTCACTGAGTAGAATATCACTTTGCTTGGAACTCAAGGGCTAGATTGTAGGTGGGTTGCGTAATAAAATGCAGACATACTCGATGTCTCGGTCATTTATAAACAGTGATCAAAATATAACGAATAAAATATTTTGTTAATGTTGTCAAATAACATATGTTTCATCTCGTGGTCTGCGCCACTCGTGAACATATCAACTTTGTCAGGCCACTCGATGAAATATACATGCTATTTGACAACATTAACAGAATACCCTCTATATCTCCGAGGAGATATCATTTTGGCAGTACAGTGTACATTTCTCAATGAAAACTAATGAAGAAGGATTTTTGATGACCTGGCCTCGTGTTTACTGATAGCAAATATATATATTAACACTCGTTGATAAAAGTAAATATATCCTCCTCGGCAAGCCTCGGATATTTGTAACTGTATCAACTCGTGTTGATATATTTGACACTTGGGTGAGATTCTCTATATATCAACTCTGCAGCCCATTAATTAAACTACATATATGAATATTACAACGACTTTGAAGCCTATGAAAATACACATATGAATATTATAACCCTAAGCCAATGGAAAGACACATTATATATGACTATTATATAAGGGCTATGTAGCCAATGAAAATACACATGAAAATTATAACTCTTCTGCAGCCCATTATAACCCTAACCCAATATCAATATTATATCGGGGCTGCTGCCTATTAAAATCCTAACTATAATTTTGAGATAACAATGAATTCCGAATTTAGTCTATCCTATCCCCTAAAAATTACAAGTGATGCTCTTTCGCCTACTACGTTAACCTTGGTGCTGACATCGAATGTGAAACTTTCAGCAACCCCCAACTACGTCAACCTCATCGTCTTTCTCATCTTCTGCGGCTGCTCCATCGTCCTCATCCGACCGATGATCGCTGAGGACAGTGACATTTTCCAACCGGAATATGCGGGATGCGTACATTTTGTCTTGAGCTGAGGGTAGGTGCCAAAAACGGTTAATATCAGGGCATCTCCCAGTCAGTTTGTTGCTTCCTGCATGTACTCGTCGGTCTGTTGCTGTAGACCAACTCTAGCCCATATCTTCACGGCTTCATGCGTGACGACTATTTCCGCGTTGCATCCCCCATCTTCACTGACACACTGATGCTGACGCCACCCAGTAGACCGCCCCCAAGGTGATAAGGACAGGATTCGCTGTCTCGGAACTACCTACTGGGGGAACTAATTATGGTGGGTTAGCCCCAAGTTATAACATGGGGAGTCCCTATCTATCCTATCCCCTAAATCTACCAGTAATGTGACATCATAGCTCCGGCGGATACTGACCGCGACTGTAGCGACCCTAACTAGCTCGGCTGTTTCTGCAACTGCCCACCCCGACAGGCTGGCCAGGTCCCTAGCTCGTAAATCCCTAGTACAGTCGGCGACTACCTAACTGGGAGCCGACTGTGGAACCACCATGGGACAAGAACGAATCCCTTCGATCACCCCGAAAAACTGTGCACTGAATGACGTTAGTGTCAGTGTGTCAGTGAAGATGTGGACTCACGCTAAAACAGTCGTCACACACTCTAAGCCGTGAAGACCTGGGTTACAAATGATATCCAGCAACAGACCGACGGGGTACATACAGGAAGCAACAAACTGACTGGGAGATGTCCTATTATGAACTGTTCTTGACACCTACCCTCAGCTCAAGACAAAATGTACACACCCCGGATATTCCGGTAGGAAATATACCATAATCCTCGACGATCATCGGTCGGATAAGGACGGTGGAGCAGCCGCAGAAGATGAGAAAGATGATGAAGTTGACAAAGTTGACGTTGAAAGTCATTGAAAGTGTCACACCCGATGTCAGCACCAAGGTTACACAAATCAGCACATGAAAATATACACACATGAATATTATATAGGCTCTGCAACCCATTAAACCCCTAAACCTAACCCTAACCCAATATAAATACTCATGAATATTATATCGGTTCTGCAACCAATCAAAATCAACCCTAATCTAACAAGATACACATATGAATGTTATATCGGATCTGCTGCCCATTAAAACCATAGCTATAGTTTTCAGATAACAATGGGTCACCCTTTTTATACATCGGTTTGATAATTCCACTAAGAAATGTTGGTGCGAATATGATTTAGCGTTATATTGGATCTGCAACCATTGAAAATATACATAGGAATACTTTATCGGCTCTGAAGCCAATGAAAATACACATGTGGATATCATAGCGGCTCTGCAAGCCCATTAAACAACATACATGAATAATATAATTTATAAAGGCTCTGCAGACCATGAAAATACACATATGAATATAAAATCGGTCCTGGGGTCCATTAAACTACAGACATGAATATTATAAAGGCTCTGAAGCTCATGAAAATACACACATGAATATTATATCGGCTCTGCAACCCCCAACAAAACCCTAAACCTAACCCTAACCAAATAAAAATACTCATGAATATTATATCGGATCTGCAGCCAATTAATATCCTCAACCTAAACCTAACCATAATTTAACCAAAATACATATATGAATATTATATCGACTCATCACGCCTGTTACCACACAATATACGTATGTATATTACCAGTACATATGAAAACGGTTGAAGGTATAGGTGAAGCCCGACACGTAAAACCAGAGATAAAAACATGTTTGTAAAAAGCTCTGGAACCGTGTTCCCTCAACGTATGCAGCACTACCTCTACTGGAGGGACACATTGCCACAACATATGTAAACAAAAATAAAGTACTCATAACTGTGACTTTTTTAGAAAGCGTGTCAGTACAAATATTTTGTTAAACCCCATGGATTCCAAATGTAACTAATATATTCTACAGGTCTACCCTCTATGCACTGTCGAACGCTTTAAGCAATTCGACAATCCGTTTTCTGTTTAAAAATTTCAATTCCAAAATGATAATTCTGGTATTGTAACGGATCTACAGTCAATGAAATCTACATATGAATATTCCATCGGCTCTGCAGCCCATTCAAACTTACAATATGGATATGAATACAGCCCATTAAAACTCTAACCTTTCAAAACTACAACACGAATATCATACCGACTCTGCAGACCATTCAAACAGAATGCATATATGAATATTATATCTGGTCTGCTATCCATTAAAATCATAATTATAGTTTTCTATATCAATGGATCACCTTTTTAATACAACGGTTTGATAATTCCACTAAGAAATGTCGTTGCAAATGAGACTTGCAGTGTTATATCGGATCTGCAACCAATGAAAATATGCACATGAATATTCTATTGGCTCTGAAGCCAATAAAAATACATGTATAGATATTATATCGGCTCTGCATCCCATTCAACTACATACATGTATTCTATAAAGGCACTAAAGCCCATGAAAATACACATGTGAATATTTTATCATCCAAAACTGTGTTCCACATGAGATATTGCTTCTGTGAGATCATACAGTCCCAGGAGATTTTTTGACAAGATTTTGAACAGTGTCCTGACAATGCTATGACGTCATGAACGTGATGACGTCACAATGCTATGACATTAATGCACTGCAAGTCTATTGGCAGCACAGTGTTCACAGATGTACATTTTTCATTCAAAACTAATGAAGAATGATATTTGGTGATAAAAAGAATCTCACCCTGGCCTCGTGTCTACTGATATCAAGTATATTAACGCTCATTGATAAAAGTAAATTGTAAATCCAAAGTCACTGTTCTATATTCTGATTAGTTGAAAAAGAGGATCGAATGGTATTCGATTTCCGGAAATTGCAAGAATATTCGCTGCGTATTATTACGTTTATACAGAATACTACACGAGGTCTCAGTACATACGAATTATGCGAAACGAGTGTCCTTCCTATGGTATCTGACCGAGCGAAAGCGAGTGTCCTTCCTATGGTATCTGACCGAGCGAAAGCGAGGTCAGAAACCATAGGAAGGTCACGAGTTTCGTATAATTCGTATGTAATGAGACCGAGTGTGGTATTTTATTTACTACCCACGTTTTACATGCATTAAATTGAGAAAATAACGTATTTTTGTTATTGTCATGGTTTCAAACTGAAACCGGTTTCATAAAGAGGTTGCGGAAGAATTTTGTTCTGTAGTCATTTTGTCTTAACGTCACACTGTTTTGACGTCACTATGCTATTCTCGTCTGTTCCCTTGGTAACCGACGTCACGATGCATGTATATTAACGCTCACTGATAAAAGTAAATTGTAAATCCAAAGTCACTGTTCTATATTCTGATTAGTTGAAAAACAGGATCGAATGGTATTCGATTCCCGGAAATTGCAAGAATATTCGCTGCGTATTATTACGTTTATACAGAATACTACACGAGGTCTCAGTACATACGAATTATGCGAAACGAGTGTCCTTCCTATGGTATCTGACCGAGCGAAAGCGAGGTCAGAAACCATAGGAAGGTCACGAGTTTCGTATAATTCGTATGTAATGAGACCGAGTGTGGTATTTTATTTACTACCCACGTTTTACATGCATTAAATTGAGAAAATAACGTATTTTTGTTATTGTCATGGTTTCAAACTGAAACCGGTTTCATAAAGAGGTTGCGGAAGAATTTTGTTCTGTAGTCATTTTTTCTTGCAAGAATATTCGCTGCGTATTATTACGTTTATACAGAATACTACACGAGGTCTCATTACATACGAATTATACGAAACGAGTGTCCTTCCTATGGTATCTGACCGAGCGAAAGCGAGTGTCTTTCCTGTGGTATCTGACCGAGCGAAAGCGAGGTCAAAAACCATAGGAAGGTCACGAGTTTCGTATAATTCGTATGTAATGAGACCAAGTGTGGTATTTTATTTACTACCAACGTTTTACATGCATTAAATTGAGAAAATAACGTATTTTTGTTATTGTTATGGTTTCAAACCGAAACCGGTTTCATAAAGAGGTTGCGGAAGAATTTTGTTCTGTAGTCATTTTTTCTTAACGTCACACTGTATTGACGTCACTACGCCATCCTCGTCTGTCCCCTTGGTAACCGACGTCACGATGCATGTCAGTTGTCATCGCCTCGTACAACCTCCCACAGTAAACTACTCCGTAGCACCCCGTTTCTTGGTTTGCAACTGCTTCATTCGGCTAACATCACTGGTGGAAACATTGCATGCATGTTTTTCGACGGATAACGTCTGTTCGACTCAGTTAAACGCTCAGTTCGGCACCGTTCGCAATGTTTATATTCCCACAATCCATCTAAGTTATAGAATGAATGAATTCACATGTTTGTTATGAATGAACAAGTAGTTCCGTCACAACGTGACCTAACTGAGAGGCCATCGGTTATCCAATCAAATCGTTAGAATCTCAGGTCAGGTCGTTGCGACACAGGTCAACGCGATACGACACTCGTGTGACGTACGATATTAATATGCAACTACCCATACGTTGACCACGAGGGTAATAAAAGAATCTCACACACCATTGCATTGTTGCGTCGTCAACAGTGGTCACGTCATTCAAACCATATTGTGACGTAAAGTCGGAATGACGTCACTAATGAGCAGTACCAGATGCTACCATGGCAGAG